ACTTAAAAACATGAGAGCACCAACCTCTAACCCCCTTGTACAACCCCCTTGTACATTGGTTAACCCTGTATCACCTCTCTCCCAGCACTGGGACTTGATGGATTTCCTTCCCTTTTCCTTGCACACCTCTTGGCATTGGGGCTTTGTTGCATGTCTCAAAGAAGGGGAAGCAGGAAGCACCAGTGCTGGGTTTCATTCACCCACAGTGATGTGCGAGGGGGTGGTTGGCGTTTCAGCGGCCACTCAGAGCAGGCTGTTGGGGTTTTACCTATTCCAGCCTTTTTTGGCCCCCAAATAGCCCCACAGATCCATGGTGAATGCACAGCTCCATCCTTCTCTGGTGAAAACCACTTCTTGGAGCAAAATCCCAACAGCCCCTTGGTCCTTCACCCCATTAAAGGGGGAATTTGGCCTCAAAACGGAGCCTTTGCAGCTGCCTGGGGACCGCCAGCAGCATCAGCAAGTTATTTCCTATATAGCTTGGAAGGAAATGGAAAGGAGACAGGATGCATCACTGCAGAGCAGCGTTGTTCCCAGCTACTGAAATAAGGGGCATGAAGGGAAAGAAAGGGAATTTGTAATCTTGGAGGCAAAGAAAGCCTTTCCCTCCAGCTGATGCAGGTGAGATCGCAGGAGGGAGGCAGCAGATGGGACAATTTGCTACTGCTTTTCAAATGCCTTTCAGCTCCTCACCAGCCTGCTGTGCCCCGAGGCGACCTCATGTAGGTTGTAAGGATAAAGAAAGCCAAATTCCTTCTGGGAGGTGATGCTGAATCCCAACATGGTCCAGCTAAACCCTCAAATGGGGCGGGGGGACACAGACCCACTTTGCTATAAACTCGGCAGAAACAGGAGCTTTTGCATTTGCTGTTTAAGACAATTTAATAAGGAACAAAAGATGTCAGGAAGATTCAAGCTTAGGTTTGAGACAAGCCTTTATTAAATCTCCTGAGCATTCACACCCGTGTTTCCTCGGCTGCAGCAGTCGGATTCTGGGTGTAACAAGTGATATCTTAAGATTAAAGATATGTACAGTGCTTGGACAGAGCTAAGTGGAGACGGCAGGACAAGCACATTGGTCCTCCAAGCACACGTAGATGGTCTCTGTGCTGGGGCAGTGCAGGGCGGCACATACAGGGCTGCCTTGATGGAGGGTGTGGATGGAGGGAAGGATTCAGGTCTGTGCGTGTCCAGACCTTGTGTCTGGCCCCAGCCATAAGCATGGGACAGGAGGTGACCGGGTGGGTGAGAACGCTGCCCAGTGGCACAACCATGTAGCAGACCCCAGAGAATCCACAAGGGGAGAGCAATGGTGTGATGTCCCACAAGGGGAAGAGCTGTCTCTGCCAGGCTGGCCCCAGCAGACCCCAGTGTACTGAGACAAGGAGGCACAGAAGTACAAAATGTAATCAGTTCTAAGTAATGTTAAGGTTGATGGCTTTGTAATGGAAAATAACTGCGGTGCTTGAAGGTAGTTGACATAGGTTCAGGTCCTCAGGACCTTAGCACAAAAGGTGTGAGAAAAGCAGAATAGAAAAGCAGGAGCTGGGGATGGGGAGCATCTGGGACTATCAGATGTCCAGGGTGGGCACAGGTAAGCTAACTGCTAAGGAAAAGGACAGGATGATTGCTCTGTTTGTGGTGTTAATAAACCCATTAAGCTGGTGAATCCACAAAGGGAGAGCAATGGTGTGATGTCCCGAAAGGGGAAGAGCTGGCTCTGCCAGGCTGGCCCCAGCAGACCCCAGTGTACCCACTGCAGGCTGAGGTTTCCTTACCTGGGGCTTCCTTGATGCTTAATGCAAAAGCTTTTCCCTTGGGGACTGCTCTTAAATGCCTGTGGAGTCTCTGATGTCTAGTAAGGAAAACACCCCCAAGGTGGCCTTTTCCTCAGCAGAGTCATTACTTATGTCTCTCACTCCTCTGCCAGGCTGAGGATTCTCATCACGCCTGTCAGGACATAATTCTCTTCCGATTCCTCTTATTATGTCAAGTTTGGTTCAGCTCGCCTACGAAGGTATAAAATGACAAGGGAAGACACGCTGCTTGTGTCGGGCACGGGGGGTGCAATTGCAGGAAAACCAGGCTTACAGAAGTCAAAATACCCTTTTCCTAGTGTTTCTGGGGAGCTGCGCTCCCTCAGCCCATCGCTGCTGAGCGAGGGCAGCTCTCCAGCAGCATCCCCTCTGGGGACGCTTGCCCATGCTCTTGGAACCTCGGAACCCCTCCCAGGAGAAGCCTGCGATGAATGACCCATCCTTGAGTCACCAAGAAGTCTATTGAGTCACAATGATCAAAGCCAGCCCTAAACTTCTCACCATGTGCTGGAGATGCCCTCACACCAGGGGGTTAAATGGGTTTTAGCAACAGGATAATTCTTCCTCTCCTCCCCTGCCAAATAACCTCTGTGGGGTGCAGAGCTCAGGGCTTTCAGGGCTTGGCAGCATCTCTCTTTTGAGGGCTCACCAGTTCACGGGTATCTCCGTCCCTTCCCGGGATGCACCGATGTCCCTGCTCATGTGCAGCTTGGCACTTGCCACCTGCCAGGCAAGAAGGAAAGGCAGAAAAAGAACTGCTTTAGAGGGTAAACCCCAGGGGAGCAGCGTCCATCCTTTGTCACCCTCCTGTCTCTGTAAGCAAGTGCTGGGGCTGGAGGAGGGATCCTGAGCGCCTGGATCCTTCTTGACTCTGCAACAAACTAGAATGAAATATTAAATGCTTTCTCTCCTTTTTATGCCTTATTTATGGCTCTCATTGAAGGCAGGGAGCCAGGGCAGGGACGTGGGCAGAACAATGCACTGGCTAAAGGTGAGGCAGGGAAATGATGGGTGAGGATAACTTCCTGTAGCAAAGCCAGGGCCGTGCTGGGGGGAGCAGGACAGGGGCCTGTCCTGGATGGGGAGCATCATGGCTCAGGGCAAAGCGCACCTTGGGAGTTATAATAGAGAAGGCTTGAAGAAAAAGCAGGGATCTGGTGCTAAGTGAGAGCTGGGAGCTGAGAGCAGGACCCTGGTCAGGCTGTGCCTGGGCATGAGAGCATGAGCGGCAGTGTCCTGCAGGGTACCAGGGCACCGAGTGGAAGGCGATGGATGAGGACTGATGTGTGGAGGACAGCTCCTATGGGCTGCTTGGCCACTGTGGAGGGGTTGACAAAGCAACTGCAAGGAAAACTCTCTCCTTGAGCACTTGGAGGCTTTTCTTTTCTCACCCCATCCTCGCTGTCTGGGTTGCAGGGCTGAAGTTGAGCAAATGGAGGAGGGTGATGGTTGGGGTGAAGGTGTTGAGCTCCTCTGCTGCCTGAGGATCCACCCCTGAACCCAGTGTGCAGCTCATCTAAAGCCTACAGGCTATGTGGGGAGAAAAAACAAGTATCTCTTCTGGAGCACTTAGCAGCTTGCAATCGCATGTGCTGCTTCCGCCTTACACAGAAAGGCAAGCACACAAATAGCCCTCGCTTCCTCTGGTGTAAAGCAGCCTCCTCTCCCAGGGAAGGAAAGCAATGAAACTACATCAGCATCCTCCACAAAACACCCGAATGCCCAAAGCAGCCAAGATCCAGCTCAGAAATAGAGCTCTAGTGTGTGAGGTGCTTTGATACCGCAGTGTGTGCGTGTGCTTGTGCACGGGAGCTCTGAGCGCGGAGTGGTTGTGTGCACCCTTTATAACTGCAGGTGAGCGCTGGGCTTCCCCTAAAGGCATGGAAAGGGACCACACTTCTCCTTAGCATGCCAAGAGGTTGGAAAGCTAGAAATGGGAATTTCCCCCAATGGGAATGGTGCTCCACAGTGCAGGTCGTGCAGATGCTCTGTGCAGAAACCCTACTGGCTGAGCTCAGTGCCTCCGAGCAGATGCGGCGCATGCTACCACACCAGCACTCGCCCGCCTCACAGATGTCTTTGCTTAATAAGCAGCTTTTAGCCTTGTGCTGTGGGTCATCCCAGGTCTGAGTGCTTCAAAAATGGAATGGACCATGTAGGCCCGCACAAGCCAAAGGGATTTGCTGGCACTGGGGAGCTCCAGTCCAGTGCTTGACTGGGAGGTGGGTTTGGGGGGCCTTTTAAAGTCAAAAGTGAAACGGAGATTCATGAACCACTTTATCCGATTTAAAATGCTTTCTCTTGCCCCCAATGTAATCTACGTGTTTAAATTTTGCCTCGGAAAGGTTAGGGGCGTAATTCCTGTATTTGGCACGTGGACGTGGCCTCCGTGTGGAGATCTCTACATGCATGGCCAGACTGGGGAGATTCCTTGGGTGTACAAACCCTTCCCTGCTTGTCTTTCAAGCGACCACTTCTTCATGCAGGCTTGATGAAGCACTAGAGATAATCGTGTCGGAATTTAGCTTGTCACTGGCTATTAGCGCTAACATGCCATTTATAAATCTGCAAAGGAGATGCTGAGTAAGAGCCTCAGAGGGTATTTCTTAACCCCCTTAGCACAACAGGATGGCTGTAGGTAAAAGACCCCGCATTACAGAAGCTTGATCTCGGCTGAAGTACAAGCTTAGTGCTGGGAAGGCCATTTCCTCCAAAGTCTTTTTCTGCAGCTCTCTGGTAGTGGGATCTTGATGGTATTGACCAACAAACAAGTGTACGTGCTTGCATTTCGTGTCCCGTTTGTAGGTGAGCAAGAGCATACGGTGAGCATCCGAATAAATAATCAGTATTGAGAGCTGGTTGGTTCTTGCCCGTGTCAACAGGAGCGTAACTCCCTGCGCGGCTGTTTCCTGACCAATGAGCTGACCTTTCCAAAGGGACATGTCCAGGCAGCAAGAGGCTGCTCTTGCTCCGTTGCTGTGGTTACGGCCCGGCAACAGTTCCCAGGGCGTAGGGAGCTCAGCTCCATGTTGTGGTTACAGCCCTGCGACAATTATGAGGACGTAGGTTGCTCAGCTCCGTTGGCTTGGCCACAGCTCTGTGACCCTTGCAGCGGGCAGTAGAACTGCAGTGGCTGCTGCGTACACAGCGGGGCTGGAGAGCCGAGGCAGGAGCAGCGGCATCATGCTGGGCCAGAAGACGAACCTCAGCAAGCGCATCCGTGAGATGCGTGCCAGCATAGCCTTGCAAGGTGCTGCCCCGTTGGCTTTGCGTTATGGGCTGGGCCAAGTAGGGGGCTTTTGGTCCCCGCATCATCCTGCATGGTACCAACAGCTCCTCAATGTCCTGCAGGGCAAGCAAGGAACTTGTACAGCAAGCCACAGGAAGAGAAGTTCACGCAGAACGTGGAGCGGCTGCCCCAGCTGCGAGAGGCGGTGCAGGAGGATATCTATGTCCTGGGCCTTGCCCGCAAGGTACCGGCAGGTCCCATTTGCTGCCTCCGTGACTGTGACTCTGCTGGACGTGCAGAGCTAGCTTCTCCACTGGTCCTGTCCAGGAGCAGGGAGTGCAGGGCAGCAGGAGGCTGGGACCATCCCCAGGCTGGCAGTGATGTGTTCTCTGCCCTTCTTCTGCCCACAGCATGAGCTCACCATCGCTGAGGCTTGCGGAGCGGAGCAGCCCTTGGGCATTGCTTTGGCCAGTAAGCCGTTGGAGGTAATAGCAGAGTCCAGCGGGGCCAGGCTGCTGGCAGTGGGCTGGGGTTCAGGGGATGCTCAGAAGGAGCGGTTGGAGGGAACAGGCAGCTGGTGCCAGCACCACGACAGCCCCGCAGGGCTGGTGCAGTGAGACACGGGGCGTCCATGAGCGGTCCCGTGGGACCCTTTGCACTGCAGGACCCATCAGTGTCCTCCCCTAGCTCCCTGAGCAGGTCCTTTGCCCCAGCAGAGCTCCTGTCCCGCCAAGGGAGCGAGCAGGTCCCAGCATCCCCAGCTCTACCTTGGCAATGAGTTTTGCAGGCAGGACCCCTTCTCCCGTGGGCGCCCAGCGAGCCCTGCCTCCAGCCTGGCAAATGCTCACATCCCATGCAGGTGGCCCGGGAGAAGCTCCGGGCTGAAGTCTGTCGCCAGGTGAACACATGCAACATGCTGCTGTACCAGGTGGAGCAGCGGAGCCGGGCCAAGGAGCGGCTGCAGAGGCGGCTGCAGCAGCTGCAGGATGTCCAGAGGGCCGAAAAGCAGCAGCAGGCACAGGTGCCAGGGCCCCTCCCTGGGGTGGCAGCACCCGTGGGGGGTTTCAGTCAACCCTGCCCCCCTGGGTGGGCACTGGTCTCAGTAGATGGGCTCACCCCTTGTCTCCAACCTTCTCTGCCCCAGGTGGTTCGTACCCTGGAGGGCAACATAGAGAAGATGCAAACAAAAGTCCGCGCTGGGCAGAAGGTGACTGCCCTGTACGTGGCGGTGCGGGATGCCCTGAGGAAGGTGAGCTCATCCTCACCGTGCCGTTGTCTCACCCGCTCCCCCTGCAAAGGCACTGAAGGGCCCAAGGGGCTGTGCTGGTGGGACACCCTCCTGCAGGAGGTCCTCCTGCTCCCCTCCACCTTCTGTCCCAGCACAGGGCACCCCTGGGACTCAGTGGGCTCTGGCTCCCCGTGTCCCAGGAGCTGGCCCACCTGCCTCTGCACCTGGACCTCCTGAGTGAGACGGCCGAGCTGCAGCATAGGGAGGTGGAGGACATGGAGCTCATGGCCTCGCGTGGGCTCAGAGCTGCTCGTGGAGCCGAGGTGAGACCATCGTCCAGGGCACCTCAGGGTGCTTTCCTGCCCTCCAGAGCCCACACATGGCACCAGACGGCCGTGCTGCTGAGTCTTCCTTCCTTCAAGAAAAAGCAAGACTGAGCTTGGCTTCCCCGCAGCACCCAGATGCCTCCATAGCTCCTCCTGTGTCTGGCTCTTGGGCCGGGCTGCCCTGAGCTGGGGACAGCTGCCTGAAGCCCTGGCCACGGGGAAGGTGGCGTTCTCCATTCTCTAGCTGGCCTTGCTCACTTTCCTTCCCAGGCTGTTTACAGGGGGTAGGGGGTGGCATTTTTGATGCTGGCCATGCCAGGCTTAGAAGCTCACAGAGGTCCGCTGGAGCTTTGGGAGCCACTTCTCTTCTGCTCTGCTCCAGGAGCGCATGGTCAGGACGAAAACCCAGGTCCTTGCAGAGAGGGAGCTCAGGCTCCGCACCCAGGCTGCTCAGAAAGAGCCCAGAGACGGAGGCTGGCTCAAGGAAGCAAAAGAAAGGGCTCTGAAAACGGTGAGCTGGGGGACCCCGGCACATTCAGGGTTGCCGGCATAGGGCGGGCATCAGTGCCCAGCCTGCCATGGGTGAGGGGCTGCAGGGCCAGCTCCCCCAGGGTGCCAGCAGCTCAGGGGTGACGATGAACATCCTTGCAGCAAGCCAAGCATGACCTCAGCAGGGACTTCCTGAGCCTGCCCGCAGAGGACCCAGTGGTGGGTGAGTGCCTGTCAGGGTGCAGGGGGGGGATGCAGGCGCAGCCGCAGGCATCCTTCCCTGCCACAACCTTTCCACCGCAGCTGCCAAACTGGAGGCCACCAAGTACCAGCTGCAGCGGGAGGCCTACGTGAGGGAGAAGATAGAGGAGGCCAAGGATGTGGTGCAGTGCTCCCGCCTCTGGGTGAGGTGAAAAGCCATCTCTGGTAGAAGCTGGGGCTGCTCCAGCCCCAGGGAGCTGAGCCTTGTCTGCTCACCTTGTTCCATGGCAGGGTTATCTGCTCTCCTCTGTCCCCAGAGCCCCCCAGGGCCCCTCTTGTACAGGCAGGGCTGGAACTGCTTTGCTCCACGCCATGAACTTGCAGTGCTTCCTGTGGTTCCTGGTGCAGAAACCTCCCCAGGAGCACGGCCCAGATCCTGTACCCTGCAGGAGTGCCCTGGGCTGAGTCCCTGTGCTCTCCCCGGGCCAGGACATCCCCATCAGGCTCCAGGCACAGCAGAAGTCCCTGCTGGAAATGGAGCAGTACCTCACAAGGTGCAAGGAGAAGAAGCAGGAGCTGGAGAAGGCAGTGAAGGAGCTGGAGATGCAGCGCGATGAGCTGAAGTTTCGCCGGCCCCCAGACACAAGCAGGTGCTGCTGGCCTCCGGACACTCATGCCAAAGGGGCCGGCACCCTTAGGGGCAGGGGGACACGTGCATGGCAGGTGTCCCAAGAGGGCAGCCCTTCCTTTGTCACCCTGCGGCTGCCCACCCCTCCCGCACTGGGAGGCTTTCTGAGCAGAGTGCTGCCCCAGCTCTGGTGCTGGCAGAGCACGCAAAGCTCCTGCGCTGGCAGCAGGAGGAGCCTTGCTCCTTGCCTGGCATGGGAAGTGGGAGCAGCAGCAGCGTGGGGTTGAGTTGCAGGCAGCATCTCTGCTCTGCGCTTGGGGGCAGGGGAGAAGCTGGGCAGCAGCTTTTGCAACAGCTTTGGGGTGTCTGCACCCCTGTGCCGTTGTATGGATGTGACCGTGGTTGGCTCCAGGGGGCTGGTGGAGGAGCTGAGGACGAGGCTGCAGCGGGAAGAGGCTCGGCTGGAACAGGGGCGAGCCCAGCTGCTGAGGAGCCAGGAGACGCTGCTGGACTTTGAAAACGCACTTGACAACCTCTTCGTCCGGCTGCGGGGCATCACCGTGCCTGGCCAGGTACCCGCCCAACGCTGGGCTGAGCAGAGCCCAGGCTCTGCTTGGTGCTGCAACGGCACCGTGTGGTGACACTTGGTGCAGCGACCATCACCCCAAGGGGCTCGTTCTCCCCACCAAGGCTGTTCCCTCTCTGACTCCAGGAGCATCCTGTCAAGGCCATGGCAGTGGACGAGAAGCTCCGGCAGTGTGAGCAGAAGCTGCAGTACCTGGTGCAGCGGGTGGCTGACCTGCCCCCCTCCAGCCACAGCGAGGATGATGAGGTGCACGGCGGCTCCATCCCTGCTGCGCTCTTTGGGGACCCGCACAGGCTTTCCCGGGTGGCCCGTGCCAAGCCATCCTCCCAGCTGGAGGATGGAGGTGCTCGAGGGAAGAGCCACGGAGCAGCTCAGGCCCAGGTGGCCCCGGGCTCTGTGGGGTGTTCCCTACCAGGGGCACATGGAGCTTGGGCACCCCTTTGCTTGTAACACCCGCCTCCCCTTCAGCTATGAACACAGCCTCTCTTTCACAGACTTTTGTGAAGGTCAGGCAGCTGCTGGAGGAAACCCTCATGGCCGATCCACGGAACCGGAAGGTTTCCTTGGAGGACACGGGCGTGGGGCTCCAAGGTAGGAAAGGGAACACATCCCACGGCAACTGCCCCAGCCAGCCCCTGCCTCCTGGCATTTCTGGCTGTCCTTGCCCATCTCCCACTGTCCCAGCAGAGCCCAACCCAGGAGTTGCTGCAGGTGTTGGGGCTGACCGCGCTTGGCTCCAGGCCTTTGAGCATAGTGCTGGTTTTCTGTGTGCATGTGGGAGACTGGAGGCAGATGGTGGCTTGGGGAGCGTAGAAGCACCACAGGAGCAAGGGGGGATGCTGTGGTGCAAGCGGGGAGAGCCTCGTCTTCAGAACCACTTGGCTGTGAATCTTCTTCACAGCCAGGGCTTGGCTCTGCCAGTGGCCTCCTCCTATGGGAGCTGCCGGCTCCTCCTGGGGACACAGGCACAGCAGAGGCAGCCCCACAGACCCTCCCCAGCCCGCTCCTCTCCGCTCTCTCCTCCAGACGATTTTGATATCCCTGACAACCACAGTGGCCTTGTCCTCACCAGAGAAGCCATCAAGAAGCAAGGGCTGGACTTGATCGAAAGCAAGAAGAAAAGCAAGAGGAAGTAGCCGTTGCTCCCCGAGACCTGGGGATGCCCCAGAGCACCCGTTGTGCACTTTTGCCTCCTGTTAATAGAGGAGATGTTTTTCATTCCATCGGATGCGCTTGGTGGGCTTTGTGTGACTGCAGGTGTGGGGATTCTATTGCCAAAACGTAGCACAAGCTGTGGTTTTGAAAGGAAGCTCCAGAAGGAGCATGATGTGCCAGTGACCACGTGGAATGGAGCGTCCCAGAACCAAGAGCCCAACAGGTACTTTCTTCTGCAATCACACTGCAGAAGACAACCCACCCATCTCCTGCCCCTGTCCTGTTCTCATGTGCTTACCGCAGCCAGGGGGGTGAGCTGAACTTCTAGGAACTACATCATAGATAGCCTGCATAGAAGAGCCAAAATTAAAACACCCAATGCCTCCTCCCACAACAGTGTGCCAGGACAAAAAGCTCTTGCTGGGCATCACCTACACATGGTGAGCACCAGATAAGCCCCACCGACACGCCAACCTGCCCTTTCTTAGCCACCCAAAACTCCATCCCTCCACATGGAAGGGAACCAAGGAAAAGCTAGGGTGGAATGTGGGCATTGGCAGCAGCAGAATGGGAGGAAGCCCTGGGGTGGTGAGGCAGCAGGAGGCCTGTGCAAGAGGACCGCCACTCCCCGGGGCTGAGGGACTGAGGAGCAGTGGGTCTGGACCCCAGCTGGGCACACTGTCCCCACCACAGTGGGGCAGTCATTGGCATCCATGAGGAATGGCTCAGGGAGATCCGAGAGGAGCCCAGAGGAAGGGGAGGGGGACAGAAAACAAAAGTGATGCGCAATACAATTGTTCATCCCCTGGGTGTCAAGGAGGCTGCCCAGCAGGATGCCAAGATGAAATTCCTGCAGAGCACCTTCACCCTGTGTGAAGCTGGCAGAGACAGGGGCTTCTCACAATGCCTGAAGGAGTTCTACCACCAATTGCAGGTGGTAGAGACTATCAAGGTGAGGGGACAGCCGGTTGCTGTGGGGAAGGGGGCATGTTGCCAGGCACCAGCACACTGTCAGGACAGGGCACAGGCAGGGACCACCAAGGTGCCTGAGGGGCCACGGGTGCCAGCGCAGCCCTGGCAGCTGGGATGCTGCCCAGCATCCCCCCCGTGCCAGACACACCTGAAGGCTGAACCCTGCTCCTGCAGCACGGTGCCCACCATGTCCTCGTTCTTCCAGTGCAGGGCGCAGCTGAAGGAGACCAAGCGAAGCAGAGCCGGGACGCTCAGGGCAGGGCTTAGGGCTGCTTCCCAGCATTACACTTACTCGTACTTGCTCCCAGTGTTGAACTATACCTGAGGGGTTGAACAATATTTGTTTGCACTATTATTACTATTTATTTTTATTTCGCTTGTTTTATTCCACTTTGCCTCTGCTTCCAGCAGTGGCAGTTCCCAGGCAAGGCTGCACAAACGTACTTCAAAAGACCAGGGAGAGAGAGAAACTCAGCTCTGGGTCATCCCTACAGTCAGTCACAAGCTTCTACGATAGCCCACATCAGGGTAAGTGTTTCTGGGACAAAATATGGTAAAAGACACCCTTAACCCAGCTGACTTTACCAATGATGGGAGGCTGTGCCACAGCTCAGGCAGGCAGCAAGGTGACAATCCCCACCAGCCCCAGCTGGGCACTGCACAGTCCTAAAAAGGGTCGTTTCCCTCCTTTACCCGCTGCTTTTTCCTCTTCCTCTTCCTGGGAGCTGCTCCTGGCTCTGTTCCCTTGCCATGCTGCGGGCTGTCATCAGCAGCCGCAGGCAGGGAGCTGTGGACAAGAGCAAAGGGCCTGAGACCCACTCAACACAGCACTGTGGCTCCTGCCCTCTCCTCATGCTGCAGTCAGACCCCTCCATCTTCCCTCTTCCTCCCCATGCCAGGAACGCAGCAGCACCCTCAGCCTATGTGTGCCACCAGCCCGAGCCTGTCCCCAGACCCCCAGGAGCTGCTGGAGGCCACAGAGCCCCCAGGCCCGCTCTCACCTCGAGGCAGCGGCCCCGTCCCCGCGCCGCTCCAGGACAGCCACAAAGAAGCCGTGGGTGAGGGTGTCGGCAGCAGAGGCACGGAGGCAGCTCTCTGCCCCCGGGAAGGCAGCGAGTCCTCGGCAGGGCCAGCAAGGGAAGGCGTCCACCAGCCTGCAGTGTGGGACGAGGGTCAGGGCCAGGCCCCACAGCACCTGCTCTGCATCCCCCCAACACCAGACACACCTGAAGGCCGAGCCCCACTCTTGCAGCACAGCCCCAACCACGTCCTCGTTCTCCTCTGGGTGCAGAGAGCAGGTGGAGTAGACCAAGCGCTGCAGAGCTGGGAAACTCAGGGCATGGCTCAGCACCTTGCGCTGGAAGCCGGCCAGCGCCTGCAGCCGCTCGGCACTTGGGGCAGCCTCTGCCATCGGCACCCGGTTCACCATCCCTGCGGGGAGAGCAGCCATCACCTGGGGCCTGCACGCCCACAGCCCACCCAGGGGTGGGCGGCCAAAGCCCCCCGTGTTACCTGAGCCGCTGCAGGACGGGTCGAGCAGGATGTAGGTCACCTTGCTGTACTTGGGGTCTCCGGGATCCACCGTCAGGAAGTCCTGCTGCGCCAGCTGGAAACCGGTGACGCCAGCACGCATCAGCATGGTGTTCATGGTGGCCAGGCGCTTGGTGTCCACGTCAAAGGCAAAGATCCGGCTGAAGGCAGAGCCCGGCGCCCAAGAGATGTGTAAACATCCCGCACGGCCTCAGGAACACGCTGCCCTCACAGCATCACACACCGGCCATCGGCCAGGCAGGCTGTGCTTGGGAGCTGCTCCCCCAGCCGGGACAGGTCTTGGGCAGGGAGAGGGAGCAGGGGCTGCAAAGTGAACCCCTGTGTGATCCCACATCCTCCTGCACCCTTCCCAAGCCACCAGCCTACCCAGGGAAAAGCCAGCACCACACAGCCCTGCCCTCACCCCTTGTTCTTCAGGATGGCTGCCAGGTGGCTGGTCTTGTTCCCAGGCGCAGCGCAGGCATCGATGACGTGGGAGCCAGCAGCGGGGCTGAGAAGGAAGGCGGGGAGGCAGCTGGCCTGCAGGAGGACAAAGCCCTGTGAGCAGAGCGGGCAAGAAGCAGCCCCTGCCCCTCCTCAGCCATGGCTGACGCTGCAGGGCCACAGGCAGCCACAGCAGCAGGGGACAAGTCCACCAGCACCCACTGCCAGGAGCCTCTGCCTGGCCGCAACCTCCCACTGCTCCCAGAGCTGGTGCCGGCTCCTCCTGGGGGTTACAGCCCGGTTCACAGCAATACCCCCATCCGTACATGTGATGGAAGCAGAGCCACAGGGCAGCCCCAGAGCTGCTGGCTGCATTCGTGCTCTCTGCTGCAGTAAAGCACGAGCATAGCCCTTGGCATGGGGAAAGAAGTTTTCCCTCCACCCATGTCAGGGGATTCCCCAGCCCTGCAGCCTCCTGCCACCAGCTCCCCACCTTGTCCTGCAGAATGATGTGTCCTGAAGTATACAGCAGGTTCTCATGGAAGTCTGTCTGCGGAGGGAAAACCAGCAGCTCCGGGAGGTGAAGGTCCAACAGGAATTTCTTCCCGGAGAGGGCCCTCAGTTCTTCCACACTGCCCACGAGGCACAGGGATGATGAACACGCAGGCCTGCCTCATCCTGCCCGCACCAGAGCTCTGCAGAGCCCAGGCTGACACCCTCTTTGTCCCACGTCTCCTCTCTCCTTCAGTGCCAGGCAGCGCACGGAAGGGCAGAACGCAGGAGTGGGGACACCCCAACCCAGGCACCCTGAGCACCGAGACCGACGACCCCTTGACCCACAGGACCTCATCCCAAGCCCCTGTTGCTCGCTGACGCCCCAGATAAGGTGGGGCAGCAGGAAGCAACGCTTACCTGGCTGCCTTGCCCAGGTAGGAGTAGCCCTCACGCTTGAAGAAGTCAACCACGTCGTCCACGCGTGTCTTCAGGGTGTTGACCCGGACGTAGCGCGGTATCTGGGAAGCTGGGGGAGTCGCCCGGGTCGCACACGGCCACCCACCGCCGCCACCACAGGGACACCACCGCGCCCAGAGGCACACTCACCGCCGGGGCCGGCTGCCTGCGCCGGGGCCAGGAGGTCCTCGTTGCGGCTCACCTTCCGCCGCACCTTCAGGCGGGCCAGCTCGGCCTCCAGCCGGGCCCGGTGCCGCCGGGCCAGCGCCTTCCAGCGGCCCCCGCACTTCAAGCCCTTGCCGAAGAGCAGGTCGTACACCAGCACCTGCGGGGACGAGGCTGAGCCGGGACCCGCCGCCCCGGGACCCGCCGCCGCCGCCGCCACCCCCGGCCCCGCTCACCTTCGCCAGCTGCGGGGACAACTTCTTCTCGGCCTGCAGCAGCGCGGCGCCGGCCAGCAGCTCCTCCAGCACCGGCGAGTAGCGGAGCGTCTCGGACACCAGCGCGTACAGCTGCCGGACGTGCTGCGGGGCGGTCAGGGGTCAGGGGTCACGGCCCGGGCCCGGGCCCGGGCCCGCCCCTCGCCCCCCGCCCCTCGCCCCCCGCCCCTCGCCCCCCGCCCCTCGCCCCGCGCACCGGGAACCGGCTGTGGTACACCAGCGCCTTGACGCCGCCGGCGCCGCGCTCCAGCCCCTCCAGGACGGCGGCGGCCGCGCTGTACAGCGCCATGGCTCCCGCCGCCCGCCTGCGCACAGGCCACTTCCGGCGGTGCCGCGTCCCGCCCGGCAGCGGGCAAGGACGGGCAGGAGGCGGGCGGGGACTTCCGGGGTCTTCGCGCCGCCGGGAGAGAAACTGAGCGAGGAGAGAGAGGGACGGGGAGCTCGGGGGAGCCCAGAGGAGGCCACGGAGCTGCTGTGAGGGCTGGAGCAGCTCTGCTCTGGAGCCAGGCTGAGAGAGCTGGGCTGGGATAGCCACCAGGATGGGGGGTGGCTGGAAGGGAGGGCAGCCGTGACGGCAGGGCCGGGCAGTGCTCATCACCCCAGAACTGGAGATGCTGACGGAGGGCCCTGTGCTGCTGCCAGAGCTGAAGGGGAAGGTGCAGGTGTGGCCTCCAGGCAGGAAGCCCCCAACCCGCTGGGGCTGTTCCTCGGCAACGGGGGTGTTTCTGAGCTGTCCCTTCCAGCTTTGGCCGTGGTGAGGACAGCACAGAGAGGTGGCTGCACCTCAGTGTGCCCCGGTGCGGCCGTTGTGCTGTGGTTCATGGTTTCATAGACTCAGAGAGTGGTGAGGGTTGGAAGGGACCTTTGAAGATCATCCTGTCCAGCCGCTCTGCCATGAGCAGGGATATCTTCCACAAGATGAGGTTGCTCCGGTTTCAGGTCCTTCTCTCTGCTCATCGTGTCCTGAGTTTATGGGAAAAGCTTTACGGTTGAGCTTTAAGGTCCCTTCTAACCCAAACCAGTCTGTTGATTCTGTGATTAAAGGACAGCTTGGCCATGGAAGGAAAGATTTCGCTCCTGAGAAGCTTAGTGCTGTCCATGAGGATAAGGAACCACAGCATGACATTTCCTGTGCCATGTCTTAGAAATGCTCTTGGCATTATCTGGCATCACAGATGTGATGTGACTTAAGTGAGACCAACACCAAGCACATGAGGATCGATAGACAAGCAGCAACTGCTGCAAACCAAGAGCTGCTTGGCAAAGTTTGGCTGTGATCAGGAATCGGCAGAGTGGGTGCTGGTGCTGAGGAAACGTGCCTCATGCCTGAACAGCTGGAGGGTGTGAGAACCCTGTGGAAAAGCACATTTGGGTGCCCTGGTTGGTCTGGGACACAACATGTGCAAGACAATTCATAGAATCACTGGTTTGGGTTGGAAGGAGCCTTAAAGCTCATCTAGCGTTAAGCAACGGCTGCCCACTTCTCTGCCTCCTGCTGGTACCTCAGAGACATTACTCACGTAAGCACCTCATTTAGCACAAACTCCATTTATTCAGAGGAAAGATGCAGCAGCAAAGCCCCCGGATGCTCATGGCTCACACTTTTCAGGCAGGCACCCCCTTCCATTGGGAGAATTCTGCAGGCCAGCCATGTTTTAGGGTTTGGGCTCAGCCTGCCAAACTGGGGACAGGAATTCAGAGGTCAAGGCTGACATTTTATGCTGCTAAACATTACCCCGCAGTACCATAGCTTCCATACGAGCACAAGCCTGCATGCAGCTTGCTGCAGCCAAACCCTCATGCCGCTGGCCAGGCTATGGCTTTGTGGGTTCCTTGGGGGCAGGATGGCTGTTCAGCGCCTGAGGGTGCCTGCTCGCAGTGGGCACAGGCAGGATGATGGGAGGGGAACAGGGCCCTCGCTCAGGCCAGCACAGGTCCACAATGGGGTAGAGCTGCCCCTGGAACTCTGCCTGGAAGGTGTAGATGGGGCTGAGCTCATCAGGGTTGTCAGCATTGTAGAAGCTCAGCTCACCCTTCTCGTAGTGCAGGTAGATGCCAATGCGCTGGGGCCGGGTGGTCAGAGGCAGGGTAGCCCGTGGCATGCTAAAGGCCTCGTAGACCTTCCCTTCCTTCAGACCAATGAGCCACACGCCATTCTCAGGAGACTTGCTCAGCTTCCCTTTGCGGCTGACCGTGCCCTTGATGATGCCCACACGCCAGTGGTTCCTGGCGCCCACAATCACCTCCCAGTAGTGCTGGCCACAGGAGAAGCCCTTGCAGGTGAGGATGCAATTGCTGGAGTCAAAACGCTTGGGGTTGCTGTCCCGGTGCTGGTAGAGGCCACACCGCACCATCGTGTCGCCCTTGAAGAGCTCCAGGAGAGGATGTGCTGTCACTGGGTCCAGTTTCAGCGTCTCTGGAGCTGTAAGGAAGGCATGTGGGATTCAGGCAACCCAGAAGGCACGGGTCTGGTGGAGAACTGGCACAAGCTGGCACTGAACTGGAAGCAGATGGAGCATTATGCCAAGACAGGCTGCTATCGGCATGAGACATGACCAGCCACTGCTCCAGGAGTTCTCCTGAGGCAAGGAGCACGCAAGCAGTGGGCAAGACAGGCTGGGGCAGTGGGATGGTGGCTGGTCAGCCTGTCCCACACACCAGCGAGCCTGGGCACTCAGTGTGCTGCCAGGGGGGCAGGGGGTACCTGGTAGGACACGGCGGTGCAGGCGCTTCCACACAGTCATCTTGATGTCATCCTGGTGGAAGCATGGCTTAAAGGACACGGGGCTAAAGACGCCATCACCAGGGTGCAGGCTGAGGAGCTCTGACCTGGAAAGACAAGAGCAGCCATGACACAGTGACAGGACAGTGTGTGACCTCCTCTCACCTGGCTGCTGTCTGTGAGAGAGCCACTGGTGTCTCACCAGCTGCTCTTGCCCTGCGTGGATCTGGCTGTGACTGTCCATCACAACAGCAGTGTCCAAGCAAGGCTGCCCCAGAATTGCTGAGATGCTCACTGGCCTGGGACCACTAGCCCTGGTGTGGAGCCTGCCATCCCCTTTGGTGCTGTTTGGTCCCACCACTCACCTGAACTGGGAGGAGCTGTATTTCTGGAAAACATAAAAGAAAGAGAATTGTTGGTGGACAGAACAGCAGATCTTCTGCATGGTCACAGCTGCGCAAGCCTCTGCCCTGGGCTGGAGAGGCCAGGGCTCTCCTCCTGTGGGAGAGCTACAGGCATTGCTTCTTGTGGAGGGCAGGTTTCTCCCACCAGGGGAAGGCCTGGCTGGACAGACAGCACCTCCATCTCATTTCTGGTACTGTCTCAGCAATGTTTGGTGAGGGTACCCACTGCCCAGGGCAGAGGGCTGAAAGCTGGAGAGCTCAGCAGACTCTCAGCACCTTCACTAGCAAGTGCACTCACCTGGATGAAACCAAGCTGACTTTCATTGCTGAGTGCCTCCAGAGAGCTCTGCATCTCCTTAAGCCTCTGCAGGGCATCTGATGTCTGCTTGACCTGGGACTCAATAGAGGTGATGAGCTGTGTTGCCTTCCTCTCAATGCTCTCCAGGAAAGTGGCCTTCTCCTCGTCAATGTACCTGTGCAGCTCCTGGAACTCCTTCCGGATCACCCACTTGAAGACATCTGCCTCGTTCTGCAGGGAGACAGCAAGCAGCAGTGCAGGGCAGCCTCACTCCATCCCCTTCACCTGCTTTTGAGTTTCAGAGGTGCTGCCAGCAATGTCAGCGTGTCCCATCAAGCTGCCCTCCACTGTCTTTCCAAATAAAGAGCAGCTCTGTTCACATCCCACTGTCCTCAGCAGCTCACCACCACAGCCCCCCTGCCTTACACCTCTCCTCTGAATCTCCCAGATTTTGATTTCCTGATGTCCCAGCCAGCCTCGTCAGAGCCTTGAAGGAGTTCCTGGATCCCTCTGCTCCCAGGGAGCTCCCTGTGTCCTGGGCTAAGGGAGAGAAAATGCAGCTCGATTTCCATTTGGGTTCCGCCCTTCTGAGGAGCCCCAATGGGAAGCTTTAGCCTCTGAAGGGATGCCAGGAGGTCCCTTGGAGACAACTACTGCATGGGAAATTGATGTGACACTAAACCAGGCAGGAACTCAATGTGAAACCAGCCCATTGCTCTGACTAGGAAGCCTGCTCCAAGCAGGGTCCTTTTGACCTGTTTATCTTCCCACCTCCAAGGACACTCAGTCAAACCAGCCTTCACCACTGCTCTGCTGGGATGTGCAGTGAGGGTAATATCACCCCTTCTGGAGACAGGGCTGTGCTACCAGAGAGGGCTACATCACGCTTCCCGAAAACAGGTCTGCGGTTAATCCCCGAGTTTTGTGAGAAACAAATGGCAGGGAATGGGGTGGAAGATAAGCCCTGTCTGCTATCCCAGGGAAGGGCAAAGGGAACGAGTAGAGGAGGCAAACTGGGAGCAACCAGGAGCAGAGGCTGCTCCAGGGGCTGTGTGGGACACAAAGACTCAGGGACATGGGCTCCCCTGACACATGGCACTCACTGCAATGCGGCTTTTGTTGTTGATGAGCTTGCTGATGTGTTCATCCAGGTTCCTCTTGTACTGGTGGAGATTGGTCAGCAGCACAGACAGCTCCTCCTGAAAAGACAGCACCTCTGTAGGAGTGACCTCGGTGGCAGCCTCTTTGGTTGCAGGCAGTACTTGTCAGTCCCCTGAGGAGCACGTGGCCCTTGGAAGCCATGTTCTCTACGAGTTCTCTAAGCGTTCTCTAAGCTTTCTAGGGCCCTGCACATCCTGCTGGTCTTTACACTCTTGGTCTAGAAGATTCGTGGTTACCAGAGGCAGGAGAGCACTCAGAGCATGGCCCAAATTTGGGTGCTGCTTGTCCTCTCACCAGGAGCACTGTGTCTCTGCTCCCATTCCCAGCCCTCTATCTCACACCCCATAGTGGCTCTGCAAAGGGTGAGCAGGTGGCAAGTGGGTGGTGAGTAGCCGCAAGCCAGCACCAGGCCAGCAGCACCCTCCTACCACTGGTGCTGGGAACCTGGCTGGGCAGGAGCATTTTTAGTGCCTCCTGCTCTTATCTCCCTCATACCAGGAGTGGAGGGGACGGGTGCCCTGTGCCTTTTCATTCCTGGAGCTTCCACGTGATGCTGGGCAGGGGATGCCAGATGTTTACTCTGCCTGGCTGGGTCCCTGCCTCCCTGCTCTCCTTACCCCAGCCCTTATCTTCAGACTCTTTTTTATGGTGTTTGTAAACAGTCTTGAAAGGCCCCACCAACACTCCCTGATCCCAAGCTCTGCCCACTATGGTGCAGACACTAAAACTGGGGCTCCTCTCAGCCAGGGACATGCTTAGCCTGAGAAACAGGTGCCCCGAGGCCAGGGACCCTGCCCCACATCTGGCTGTGCCATGGGACTGTGCTCCAGGCACTGTCATCATTTCCAGCCTGTCTCCTGAAGGAGAGGGCACATTTGGCCAGCAAGCCCTTCGGGCGCCCTGACCCCCACCCCAGAAGCTGCAGCTGCCTCTGCCTCCAGACCTTCATCTGGCAGTATGCAGTAGAGATGGGGGTGATCTTGTGCTGGCGGTGGTTGCCAATGGTGCCACACAGCCCGCAGATCACCTCTTGGTCAGCCTCACAGAAGAGGCTGAGGGGGTTGTGGTGTGTTGGGCAGGACTCCGGGCTCAGCTCTGCCTCGCACAGGCTCTGCAGTGCCTCGATGACACAGGCCAGTGTGACGTTGGGTGATAAGGCACTGCAGTCTACCATCTGGCGGCACACAGGGCACAGGAACCGCCCATCCAGCTCCCCAGAGAGTGACACCACGCAGGACTTGCAGTACGAATGCCCACACTGCAGCATCAGGGGCTCTTTGAAGACCTCCAAGCAGATGGGACAGAGTAGCTGGTCCTCCAGCTCATTGATGCTCATCCTCCGAGCCATCCTACCACCTTCCCACACAGCAGCACAGACCTGGCCTGGGAAACACAGCTGGGAGATCAGTCCTGTTCCAAAAGCAAGATAAGCAGAGATGAGTGAAGATGCAGCTTAGCAGCTGGGGAAGGCGAAACAGACATCTCCAGCCCACCAGCAGCAGTACAGACAGTTGCAAACTCATCAGTAGGCTCCCCCTCTGCTGCTCTCTGGAGGCATTGGTAGATTAGATATTAGGAAAAAATTCTTCCCTGTGAGGGTGCTGAGGCGCTGGCACAGGGTGCCCAGAGAAGCTGTGGCTGCCCCATCCCTGGCAGTGTTCAAGGCCAGGTTGGACACAGGGGCTTGGAGCAAGCTGCTCTAGTGGAAGGTGTCCCTGCCTGTGGCAGGGGTTGGAGCTGGATGAGCTTTAAGGTCCCTTCCAACCAAAACCAGTCTGGGGTTCTATGATACAAAGCCTGAGACACAGCATGCAGCTGTAACTGCAACTCACCCCCTTGAAACGTGGTGTGGTCTCTGGTCCCCATAGCACTCCATGCCCTGGGCCAGCACCCCCAAGAGACAGAAGCCCAAATCCCAGCCTCTCCCACCAGCCCAGGGCTGCCTGTGGCCCAGCCTGTTCAACAGCTCTAATGCTGTGCAACTCTGACTCCCTTGCTGCTCCCAGAGCTGTGAGTGTAACTGCCCAGATCCTTGGGCAAGTCAAAGACATGACCTGAAGTTGAAGAAAATAAACACGCAGCCAGAGGCTCAGTAGCTTTCCCAGGGAAAGGGGAGGCTGTGACCTGAGCTTGGCTTTTATCACACATCGCTATAGGAGCTTGGTGAATCAATGAAAGCCTGTGACCCATGAGACACCATAAAACCCCATATGGGGAAACCAGCTTCAGCTGCTCCCTCCACTCACACATACACATCCCAGAAACCCAAATAACAGCCTCCCACTCACATGCCCTGCGTGGCTTCCTCCTGGCCCTGGCTTGGTGCACTGAGCCCGATGGATGTCCCTCGGCTTCCCAGTCAAGCCGAAGAGTTTGACCTGGTTGGAGAGGCAGCGAGGCAGGTGGTGGGACCAGCAGGCCCTTGGTGAGACACGGAGCAGAGCCACTGCCCTCCTGCAGCCTCAGCCCTGCCAGGGATGTCCCTGCTCACTGAGGAGAGCCCAGGCAGCCTCTTGTCCCCTCTCCCACTCCAAGGGTGGTGTCACACCCCCCAGGAGGGCTGCTCTCCGCCCCTGCCACGCAGCTATGGGCACACACATCAGATGATTGGGCAGGCACGAGCCTTGATAAGAGGTGGTGGTGTTTGCCTCCCGGAGCAGCCAGCCTCCCGGAGTCCCACCACGTTTCACTCATACGTGCCACTGGGGACAATAGAAACTTTTTCACTAGAACACTTTCTTATCAACTAAAGCTCTTTTTTCTGCTTGAAACACCACTTTGTTTGGTGAAAACCTTTGATTGCTTTGGAAAAGATCAGAAGAAAACCTCAAGTGCAGCTCCCCCAGTGTAGGGCAAGGCACATGTCTACTGTGCAAAAAATGCTTCCTCGCACAATTATTCCTGGTTCACAGATGTGTCTGGCTTGCAGGCACCCTGGTGGGTCCCTCCCTACATCATCCAGGGGAAGCTGGGGACAAGGAACCCTTCTCAGCCCAGAGGGCCCAGCTTCGGGGCAACCTCCAGAGGCTGTGTGGTGTGGAACCGGAGGCAATGGCTCAGGATTAGCCTGGGGCTCCCACCTTGGCCGCTGGTGTTGGGTCAATCAGGAGGGTGCATCTCTCACTCCCCAGAGGGAGCTGGCAGCTGGGGGTAGCTTCTGCTGCGCTCTGGGGAGCCCCTCTGCAGCCCTGATCCAGCTCTGGGGCAGCAGCACAAGAAGGACATGGAGCTGTGGGAGAGAGGCCAGAGGAGGCCACGGAGATGCTGCGAGGGCTGGAGCAGCTCTGCTCTGGAGCCAGGCTGAGAGAGCTGGGCTTGATGAGCGCTGAGGTTACAAAGGCCCGCATGGCTCTGACAGGCCGCGGGTACGTCCAGCACTCGCAGGGCACAGCTCAGGCCCCCGCTTCCCAGGCTCGGCTCAGGAGAACAGGCACGGCGCTGCTATCGGCGCCGCAGCACCCAGCACACGGCCCCGGCCCGGCATGGCCCCGCGGGACCACCCGGCTCTCCCGGAGGGGCAGTGCCCGGAAAAGGCCGCTCCCCCCCCGCAGCCCCGCGAGGCTCAGCTCGGACACACGGCCGGGCCTGGGGAGGAGGCCGCGCCCCGCCCCAGTGCGTCCCTCAGCGTGCACCGCGGCTGCCCATTGGCTGAGAGCAGCGCAGGGGCGTGTCCCTGCCCGAGGCGCGTGAACGCGGGGCGTCTTAAACCGCGTCTGGGGATGCGTGCGCTGCTCGGAGCGCGATTGGCGGGAGAGCCCGAGAGCCGCGGGCGGTGATTGGTCGGAGAGCGCCGCGGGGGGTGATTGGTGGGAGACCGCCGCGAGCTGCGGGCGGTGATTGGTGGGAAGGCGCAGGGCGCTGTGGCGATGGCGGGCAGCAGTGGTGGCGGGCGCGTCCCGCGGCTGGCGGGACATGACGGGCCTGCGGGTGAGGCCCGGCCCCGGCCTTGGCCCGGGCCACAGTGGAGGCTTCCCCCAGAAGGGGGGGCCCTGCCCGTGTACCCGTTCCAGAGCTTGGTGGGGTCCCGGTGCCTGCAGGACCTGAGCGGCGACGGAGGGGTGCGCAAGCAGGAGCTGCGCCCCGGCACTGGGCAGGCCATGCCCCCCAATGCCTCCGTGGCAGGTACTGCTGGGGCTGCAGGGCCGGTGGTGCTGCTTGCTGAGGTGTGGTTGGGAACCTCCTGCAGCAGCCGCCGGTTCTGGCATCTCTTTCTCGGGGCTGTGTGTGGTCTGCTGTGTGCCTCCAGCCACCGTCCTGCGGTGGGTGCTGCATGAAACCCTGGCCTGGCTCCCCTTGGGGTCTGGTGTGTTCTGCAGCAATGCTGTACCTTGTCTGATGGACACAAGCTGGTAGGCTCCAGTGCCCGTCTCTTGAGCAGCTTGCTTTATAAATGGCAATTGTTGAATTTAATCTGTGGCTAGCAGGACTCAGAAAACCTGGAATCCTCAGAGGCAGAGTGAAGTCAGGGTCTCATGCTCATCTCTGTCATCTACATTAGTGGAAGGTCCTTGCTTTGTGCTGTATGGCTGGTGTGATGTGTCTGCTGGGGGAAATGGAGCAAACACAGCCTTCTTGTAAAGGATCCCCTGAGCTTCTAATGGGAGGTGCTTGTGGCTGGCAAATCTCAGCACTCTGGATTTTTAGTGTGAGGTCAGAACAAGAATTTAAAAGTGCTTGTATTACACAGTATGTCTTTCTCTTTCAGAGACTGCCTGCTTTCCATATCAGTATTCTAGCACTTGAGATACTCTGTTTAACTTCTTGTGGGTGACATTAAATGAAAGGGCATCTTGACCTTGAGAATAGCAGGGTTTACGGGTCCCGCCTGTGCTCACAGTACAGAGAAGAACTTTGAAGCTGAAAGTTCCTTAAGTGCAAAGGCCCGGTGCTGTATCAAGGGAATTGTAGACTCATAGACTGGTTTGGGTTGGCAGGGACCTTAAAGCTCATCCAGTTCCACCTCCCTGCCATGGACAGGGACACCTTCCTCTAGAGCAGGTTGCTCAGACTCCATCCAGCCTGGCCTGAACACTGCCAGGCTCATTACAGTTCTCTTCCTAACTGGGTGAGAGCTGGCATTACACACACAGCACTCAGGAGAATGGCAGGGCTCAGAGGGTTACCTTGTACTTATTGCCTTTGTTTCTTTTCCCAGGCCTTCAGCTTTGGTTAGAAGAGGGTTTGTTACATATTTTTTGCATATAAAATTGGGGCATTTTGATTTCTAAAGCTGAAGTTTCCAATTCTTTAAAACACAAAATCACATCTTTTAATTGCATAGGAATCAGGACTGTAAAGCAGCTGCCTTACCTGCTGATGGTGCTGAAACAGTCAACTTGGCTGCTTGGATGTGATCAGGTATTTGATATAAAACACAAGGTGGTTTGTGCCACCTCTACTGTTCTACAGTAGAAGTAAAAAAGAAAAGCAGGATAAAATGGTGGCGTTGCAGATCTGACTCCTGATGCTGCTGTTGCTGGAGATGAAATCAAACTCTTGCTTTTTTCCTCACTTGTTGATTTGGGCTTCACAGTGAAGTTCTCTGGATACCTGGAACACCAGGATAAGCCCTTCTGCACAAACTGCTCCAGCAAGTCTCCTGGGCTAATGAAACTTGGGAAAGGTAAGTTTGAGGCAAAAAGTTTGTCTTGCGACTCAGAATTGTAAAGACCAGCCCCTTAAGACATGTTGTTAAATGCTCTTTAGTGTTTTGGGGTTATCTGAAGCTTTTAAATCTTGTTAATGGAGTCTAAAAGCCTCCTGCTTCACATGGGTGATGGTCAATCTGGAACTGATCACCCTTTGGCCCTCTTGACTCTTGGTGGTATGGGGGTGCCCTGAGGCAGCTGCTCCTCTCCTGGTGTTCTTCGATCACTGAAGAGGAGACATTGTATTGAGTGTGTGCTTGGTCCCACCACAGGCTGCCTTACAGGAGGCAGTTGGCCATCGTAGCTGCTGAGATATGAGCTACCAAGGATTTCTTCCTCCAGGCTTTGGAGAAATCACTTGGTGTCAGAGGCGGGTTCTGTGTTTGTGATTCTCATGACCTTCCATGTCTTGCTGAGACAGACATTACGCTTTTGGGCTTGGAAGTTGGCCTGCTGACGATGAAGAAGGGAGAGTTGTCAAGGTTTGTCTTCACACCAGATTATGCCTATGGGCAGCAAGGCTGTCCTCCGCTCATTCCCCCAAGTGCCACGGTCATCTTTGAAGTGGAGGTCCTGGACTTTCTAGACTCGGCTGAATCTGACGCATTCTTTGAGTTGCCTGCTGTGAGTTGCTGTAATAAGGTTTGAAACCTGAACCTGGCGGCTAAACCTTTGTTGTCTGTTGTCTCCTTCCACTTGCTGAGGCACGTGCATTACATATGTTTAGCTTGCAGACACGTGCTTGCGAACGCTGCCCCTGCTCACCTCCCCCTGTTTGTGCAGAGGGAGAAGCTGGGTGCTGCCTTTGTTTGTTCCTGCGTGCTGGAGTCAGGCTTCCATTCCATGGTTCTAGGATTTATTTTTAGCTTTACAAGAAACCTCCTGGTTGCACTAGAGGGCACCAGCTCCCAGGGATTTCCCCGAAGGAACAGTAAGGAGCTATCTGTACAAACCCTGTGCCGATGGCAGTGTCCGAGTGCCTCCCCCAGCTCCCGCCCTTTGTCCCTGCGTCTTGGCTGCTTTCCCAAGTGCTCCTTCACTGTTTGCTTTCCTCCCCGGTGAGTTATAGCGCTATTGTTAATTGCCCCTTTTCGTGTAAAGGGTTTTGGGCTGTGGCTGTGGGGTGCCCGGGCGGGGGGGAGGCTGCCTCCTCCTCCCCTCCTGCTGCTGCACAGGCCATTTTTTCGACACAGAGCCTTGCAAACAAACCACACGTGTTGCAGGAGAGCTCCCCCCCCAGTTGCCCACCCTCTGGTTAACTGGCCTCTCTGAGTGGTTCAAACTTGCAAACCCAGGAGAAAACCTGGCATGAATTTTATCCTTTATTATTGTTGTTTTGGTTTTGACACAACGCTATGTCAGCCAGGTCTTGGAGCTGGCCTGAGGCAGCAGCCTGGGGGTGATGCAGAGCCATTAGAGCAATGCAGCCTTTCACAGCTTCAGCAGTGCTGTTTAACTGTGTGCTCTATGCTGAGCAGGTGAGAGTTGGGCAGGATTTAAGAATGCATTCCTACTTCTTTCAGCCCACCCCCCACCACGAGTCACCCTTCACCAGTGCAAGAGCAGGAGCACGTTTCAGCCTGGAGAAGGGAAATGCCACACAGAGGTGGCCTGGCTGGACTCTGCTGGGGCCTTGGCAATGGCCTGGCTCCTGCTTTGTGAACTGAAAGGGACCATGCAGGACTGGCCTGCCTGAGCTCTCTGCTCTTTTGTTTGAGCTGAAACTCGGGTGTTTCTTTACACAGGAGCAGCAGGCGGCATTTCCGCTACAAAAGGTGTTGAAAGTGGCAGACACGGAGAGACAGTTTGGCAACTACCTCTACCGCAAGAGGCGCTTGGACGATGCCAAAGACAGATACAAAAAGGTATGACACAAGAAAAAAAAATGTGCTTTCTGTTGTAAAAAGCTGTGAAAGTGGTGATTGTGTAATGCTAGCTCACCATAAAAAGTACAATTTAGAAATCACATAATAGAATTGTAGCATCATTCTTTCGTCAAATGGCTTCATTCTGTTTTCCAGGGTAGTTTGTTATTTAAGAACAGATCTCAGACACCTGCTTTTGTGTGAGCAGCAGAGGTAAATGAAGGAGAAGGGTTGGGAGAAACAGGCAGAGTGCTTTCCCTTCAGGCTTGCTCCCTGTGGGCTCTAGCCGGGAAGGGTGTGTCTTGGCTGTGAGCCCTGTGTGGTTGCGTAGCTGACTGCTGAGCTAAAGCGTTTCAGGGCAGCTTTGGTTGGGAGACCTCATTGTGCAGCTTGGCCTCGTGTTGCAGCAGCGTTCTGATTAATGCTTTAAGAAGGAATCCAGAATCCCTTTGTCTGGAAGCAGACATCACTGACCCACTGTGCACTCAAACTTTATTTTTAGCCTTCCTGTTGGGAATCGCAGCACAGTTGAGGCTGGTGGGGGCCTCTAGGTGCTGCCTAGTCCAGCACTCTGCTGAAGTAAGGGCAGCCACAGCTGGATGGTGCCCAGAACTGTGTCCATTCAGGTTTTGAACATCTTCAAGGATGGAGACCCCCCAACCTCTCCAGGCAGGGAAACAGTCAGTTGTTCCCAAACTGGAATGCATCTGCCTTTGTTTTGGAGGTAGTGAGGTTTTGTGAGGTTTTTCTTCCCTCCATTCAGAATTTTTCTTGCTGTTTTAGTAACAAAACTAATTTCAATTGTCTTTCTCCTTGTAGGATATCTCTGCCATCTTTGTCCTTAATGTTTGAGCTGTGGGTGTCATTTTTTTATTCTGTTGCTTTCAGGTCCCCTGAGAGGTTACTAACCCTGTAGTGCTGTAGCTGAGCTTAGTCATGCTAATAATGCCATGTGAATTCAGAGATTTGGTTCTTACTATTTTTTAAGTGATCCAGGTGAACAGAAACATGGGTGCACCTGTCTGATGAGGTGGGCTTCTCATTTCCAATAGCAGATTTGTTGTGCACTAGTTCTTTTTCCTTGTCTGCTCAGGCATTATCCATCCTTGGTCTCAGCCCTTCCAGTGAGGCAGAGCAGCGTCAGATCAATGCTTCCAAGCTGCTGCTGCTCCTGAATCTCTCACTCACTTACCTGAAACTGGAGCGTCCTACCCAGGCTTTGGTGTATGGGGAAAAGGCCTTGGAAATCGACCAAAGAAATGCCAAAGCGTTGTTCAGGTGTGGCCAGGTGAGCAAAAATAAATTCCTTTGGTAGCCACATCAAGGAATATCCTGGCCTGACTGAGTGTGGAGAGAACCTTGAATGGACTGAGGAGAGCCACTACATTCTGGGCCAGGCTTTCTAAGCTGCCACAGCAGCAGGGGAGGTTTGCACATCTGTCACACAGATCTCTTTCAGGGAGTAGTTCCTGAACTACCTGGAGCTGGCTCAGAAATGTTTGCACATGTGTTGAGTCCTGAGGAATAGTGGTGAGTCTCTATTTATGGTGTGGCACATCTGTCTTCTTTCAATGACAGGCTTGTCTCTGTATGACAGAATACGAAAAAGCCCGAGACTTCCTGGCCAGAGCTCAGCGCATACAGCCTTTCAACCATGATATTAACAAGGAGCTGAAGAAGCTGGCAAGGTGAGAGAGCTCCTGTCGTTGCTGTAGAAGGGAGAGTGCTTAGATAGGCTGGAACACCTGCTCAAAAATATTCAATATGTTTAAAAAAAAAACAAAACACAAAACTATTGGTCAGTAAGTGACCTGGGGAAGTACAGAAGGCTCCTCTCAGTGTGGAGACAGCTGATTCAAACATGTGGACACAAAGTGGTTGCAGGTGATAAGTGAGAAGCTGAGAGCACTCCCTCATCCTGTACAGTGTCTCTGCAGGGTATGTGTTATGCTCCTAGGGAGTAGAGAGGCCAGGGATTTGGATGGATTTGCAGCTCTGTTAAAACTAGGGAGATGGATTTGTAGTTCTGTTGGAAGGCTTGCATTGCATCAAATCCAGAACGAAATTGTGTTGTTCTGATCTCTGGCATCAATCTGTGCCTCCAAATAAAGGGATTTTGGATTTCCTGCAGTGGTAAGTATGTGAGCAGGCCATCCACAGTCCAGGTGGGCATCCCTGACCTACTCTGTGTGGACAGATGTGGAAACATCTGTCTGAGACTTAACTGAAGAGACCTGCTGTGCTGGAATTTCACTGAGTGAAGCTCTTTTGAGGTTCTAGACAGTGAGGTGCTGATGGTGAGGGTAGAGAGAGGATTAGCCAATGTCACACTTGTGCTGTTTCTGGTGTGTTGCAAAAACCCCTTTGCTTTTGACTGGAGCAGATGCTGGAAAGCTGGCCATGTGGGCAGCCATCAATCCCTGGGACGGTGCCCAAACTGAGTCGCCGTCTAGCTCAGGGATTCCTCACCAGTGAGACCTTGTTGCTAGTAAGGTGAGAGCACAGGGTGCAGAGGATGCTGTGCTTGGAGAAGCAGCAGTTAAAATGGAGCTGTCTGGGAAGCTTTTGCCATGCTAATGTGACACTGTCAGGGAAGTGAGAGTGGAGGAGGAAGCAAATCCCTGCTATTTCCACTTAGGCCAGATGCAAATCCCTGCTGTCTCCTACCCATCCTCTGCCCAGATTCAGTGTCAATGGTGGATACTCTCAAGTAGGGCACTTGGGCTATGTCTCCCGATATGTGCTTGCATAAGGAGTGGCACAAATGAGGAGACAGGAAACTAGACCACAGGACGTGGGTGGGAGTTCCTCTGCAGCATCACATGCTTGCAGAAATGGTATAGAAAGCATAGTCGCCAGTGAAGCAAAGACCCAAGGTCTGGGAATGAGGCACAATGTTTCCTGCTGTCCTTCCCTGACACGGCAGAAAGAAGGGGCTTGAAGGATCTGTGACTTTGCTACCAGCACTCTCCTGCATTAGGCTAATTTATTTATATAGAAACACTAAGATGTTTTCTGGTTGTGGCACTGGTGGGTGGGCAGGTGGTCCCTAGCCCGTGCTGTCATGCTGTGCTCTGCTTTGCAGCTGCTACAGGGACTACATGAACAAGGAGAAAGAAATGTGCTGCCGAATGTTTGCTTCTTTCAACAGTTCTGCCTGAGCAGGAATAAAGGTAATCAAGTTGTAAAAAAGGCTGAGGTCCCGCAAAACCTCTGTCTCTGAACTGTTGTCAGGTGGGGAAATCTTTGGAGCGAAGGCAGTGGGGGTGTGTGGAGGGAAAGGTGCAGGATGGTGGAGTGAACTGCTGCTGTATTGTTAGCTTGGGGAAACTTTCCTGACAGACAAGCTCATGTGTGTGGGACAGGAACTTGAGACTGGCAATACTTGAATAAGTTTGATTTTGTTGTTTCCTGTGCTGCTCATCGCAGCTATGCCTTGTCAGAGCCAAGGGGAGAAATAGCTGTTTAGTCTTGTTTCTATGCTAATTAAAAGGAACAGAAAAGATTGTTCCTGTCACATGTAAGAACTGGATTTCCTCCTCCCCTCCAGCACTCCTGGCTGGAGCTGCTGGAATGTCTCTGTTCACAAAAATCTAAATATTTTTTTATTTTCTAATATCAAAAAACCTGTTAGTACAAAATTTCAAATAGTTGTTTTGGACTCTTTAGAGCCTTATATCTTTGAGCAATATTGATGGGTTTATAAATGCACAAAGGCTCTTTGATCGTTCTTTTTTTGTCAAAACCTTCGGGGGGATGTAAGGGGGAGTGGAAATCTTCACTGGTCTCTTGCCTCCGGGTAAACCCTAGGGAAACTGTTGTGCAAAATGACAGCAGCCTTCTGTCAGAAAGCATCAGCAGCTTGGGGCCATTGGAGTTCGCGGCTCCTGTCTCATGCAGAACAGACAGTACTTCTGTGCATAGAACATGGGTATTGGCAGCTTTTCTAGGAGTAGCAGTGAGAGTGCAGGGTGCAGGTCTGGTATTTTAAGGTTGCCTCTTTTGTCTGTGCTGTGAGGAAGCTAAGGTAGTATGTGAGAAAAGCTTTGCTTGAGCAGTTGCTTTCTAAAGTGACATAACTCTCTTTTGGCTGGATGCACCTCCCTGCTCTAGTCTTCACCTCTTGCAGCCCCTGTGCCTGAATCTGAGCTGGGCATGTTGCTGAGGTGCCTCAGAGCACAGATGTTTCTGCCCTGGGTTCAGGATGAGACAGGCTGCATCTTTTAGCAGCTATCTATCCTAGACAACTAGCTGTGAAAGGAGATTTAAGGCTAAGAAGCGGACTTGCAGGTATGTGCAGAAAGGTTGTGGCTTTGGGCTTGAGAAGCTGGTTCAGATTCTGCACATGCTGAATTTCAGAGACTTGTAGTTTGGAACCTGCAGGACTTGGGGCTCATGGCTGATGGAACCACATAGCGGTGCCTGGCCTGGGAAGCTTCTTGTGTCCATCTGTGCCTTGCCTTGTGGTGGGAACTCCAAATGAATGCGGTGATATGCTGAGTCACCAGACAGGTCCTCCACTGGAAAGGTTGTGTGGCCTCTTGTTTCCCAAAAAGCAGCTCACAAGAGGTGCTGGTTTACACACAGTGGTGTAATGGCACAGAACTGCTGTTCTAAATAAACTGACATCTTCAGTTAGTGGAGCCCAAAAAGTGCAACGGGGAAGGGAAAAAGAGAAACCTCTGCTGGAGGTTCCAAGGAGTGGGCTGAACTGCTCATCAGCCAGTTTCCAACATGGCCTTGAACAGGGATGGGGCAGCCACAGCTTCTCTGGACATCCTGTGCCAGCGCCTCAGCACCCTCACAGGGAAGAACTTGTGCATAAGAGCTCATCTCAGTCTCCCCTCTGGCAGGTTAAAGCCATTCCCCTTGGCCTGTCCTTGTCCAAAGCCCCTCTCCAGGTTTCCTGGAGCCCCTTCAGGCACTGGAGCTGCTCTCAGGTCTCCCCTTAAGGAGCCTTCTCTTGTCCAGGCTGACCCAGCCCAGCTCTCTCAGCCTGGCTCCAAGGCAGAGCTGCACCAGCCCTCTTGCAAGCACATGCTGGCAAGTCATGGGGAGCTTCTCATCAACCAGCATCCACAGTCCTTTTCCTCCAGGCTGCTCTCAAAGTATCTTGCTCAGAACACACTTTTTTCCTTTTTAAATGGAGTTTCAGATCAGAATCAACCTTTTCTGTGGTGAAATTCAAGGCCGCTTGTGATGCTTCCTTGAAGAATTTGGAAATCCTCATAGGGAGAAATAGAAGCATGAACACTTCCTTAAAGCCATCCTGCTGCAGTTCCTAGCAAACACAGTGGCCTGGCTCTCATGCTTGCCCCTCTGGGTTTGGGTTGTTTGCCTGCCTCTGCATGCTTTGTGTGGTGCAGAAGTGTTAAGCCAGGTTGCCTGGGATGTCCATAGCTGTAAGTCTTCCTCAGCATCCCCTGAATTGCAGGATGGATAGGCTGAGAACTGCTGGCTTATTGGAGCTTTTTCTTTCTTGTTTGAAAGACCCAGCATCAAAACCCATGAATTTCTTATTGTATTGCTGCAGTCCTTCATGATAAGAGATATTAATTGTGAGGAGTGGGGTCAAGTTCCCTAGAAATGTCTGGATTCTAGGAGAGGGTCCTTGGTGATGGTTTCATCCCAGAAAGATGAGTATCTGAGCTTTTTTTTATTATAGGTGGGCTGAAGTTGCCAGCTTGCCTCTAACGTGTCTCCACAGGAGAAGTGGTCTCAGTAGCTGAGAGCACGCAGGGAAGTTTTCCAATGAAAACAAATTTCTGAAATTATGGCAGGAAACTATGATTCTGAGGTCAAACCTGAGATTGCTACGAATAGCAGGGTCTAGCAGTTCTGAAGCCATTCACTGGTGAGAATTGGCTGCAGTACTGGGGCTGTGTCACCAGATAAAAGTGACTGTAATTGGGCTTAAAATCAGCAGCAATTGCCAGTTAAACTGACCTAATAAGCTGAAAGAGTTGCAAATAAAATGAGGAGTATGTGTATAGCACATACAAACCTCCTGCCTTGGGAAGGCTCCAGACTGGGTACACAGCAGCTTGCTTCTTCCCCTCCTGCTCTTATTACTGAGCAGATCTCAAATTTGCCTCCTGCTGACACTGTCCCTACCCACTGCCTGAAGCTGAACAACAGAGATCCAGCAATTTGACTTCTCCTTTAGAATATGTAGATTATTGTACCCCTGAGATGTCCTGTGCTGCACAGGAAACTATTAAATACCTGCTTTATGCTGAGAATTGCTGGAGAAAGCAGGGCGGCTTGAAGCATGACTTAATTAAACATTCTCCTTGCTAAGCAGAGGAAGGAGAAAAGCTTTAATTAGCTTGTTGGGTTTTCTGCTTTCCCTCCAGCTCTCTCCTCTCCTAGCATCTTTCTTTTTTTCAGAGTTGTTCTGCAGTAGTACTTGTAATGCCTCCCTGGAGGATTGGTGGGCTCTGGTCTCTTCTAGAAACTGTCAGTGGAGAAAAGGCTGCACCTCCTCTCTTAGGGATACTGTGCCCTGGCTGCTTCCTGGGCAGGTATACTGGCCATGTCCCCTGGTTTGAATGCACTAGTGGTGGCCATGTCCAGGCTGGGAGGCCCAGACTGGGCTTTGAAGTGAAAAGATAATATGAAACAGAAAGGAGGGAGACCCGTGTGATACCTTGATGCCCTACTGTGGCTGTCCTCCAGGGCATCAGTGAAGTGGTGGTTTTGGAGAATAATCCTCTGCCTGTGGGCTGCCAAACACTGTCCATCCTGTGCAGCCCTGTAATGGGGTGTTCTTTCCATCAGCAGTGACCCAGAGCAGCTGAAGGGACCGGGGGCCACATCACTTGAACAGCACCAGGGCATTGATGGCTGTGTCTGACACAGTGGCACCAGTGACTGCAAACAGACAGTGTGGCTGCTAGCATCAGGAGGCACTGCTGAGGGCTTCAGATCTTGGGAGCATTGCTTTCAGAAAGGCTTTTTGCTGAAGATGCAGGGAATGTCTTGGCACTGCTGTGAGCTGGTTTGCAGAACTGAAGTTATTTCCAGTAAGGGTAGAGGTGACCATCATGTGCCTCTCCCACTACCCACCCTACTTTAGTGGGGACCTGTTGATTTGGCAGAATGCTGAGCGTTATTGACATGAAAGTTATCTGAGTTCTTGAAGAACTGGGGGCTGCTGTAAGGATAAGTTTGAGCCCAGACTTGCTGGATGAAGTCCTTTGTGAGTCAGAAGTGTGTGTTGAAGAGTTCATCCCTTCTTTCACCATCCCATAATTATCCCTCTTGTGAGACCTCTTGCTCTCTGGGCAAGTTTTTGTGTTGCTTTGTCTGGGTGCTGTTTTAAGGGGCTTCTTTTTAGACATGCTTGAGAAAGAGCTCTGCTTTCTGGTTTTCCTTTTTGCTTGAGGTATCATTGGCCTATCACAGGTCTGAGCAAGCTTGACAGGCCCTTCCGTCACCTCAGGTTCAGGATGGTAGCACATGTCATCAGCATTCAGGATCTTTTGGAGTCAAGAATTATTAAAGATCTCTGGAGAATTTATCCTGCCACAGAGCTGTCTATCCAGCTTACAGCAGTGCTTGAACCTCACTGCGGATCCTTTGCAGAGCTGAGGATCATGACAAATTAATAGGCAAATAAAAAAATTCCTGAGGAAAAAAGCATGTGATTGCAGCTCTTCAGATGGCCATGGAGGTTCATATGGCTTGGTGATAAAAGAGGAGGAGCACATCTGTTCCTTGCACCTTCCTCTGTGAGTCTGGACGTTGCGGACGCCTGTGATGGGGTAGTTGGAGTCTGCTTATGCCTTCAGACATGGGGAGTCTCCGAGTGTCTGCTTGTGCTGCTGTGCCATGCAAACAAGCTTCACAGCCATCTTGGCCATAAAAGCGAGCCCACTTGAAGCAGTAACAGCTGGACATTCCCAGGCAACACATTAGAGAGGGTAGAGCTGACTGCAGAGTTGTTTCTGAGGACAGCAGATAAGTGGCACCCTAATTAGGAAACTTTCTGAAGACATGTGCTCAGAGAAAGGCTCCTTGGGATGGCAGTGCAGCATGTTCCCTCTAAGAATTGTCCAGATAAAGCCATGATAGCTTGGTGTTGTAAATAGCTGTTTCTTCTCCTCATGCCCACTTGGATTGCCCAGCACATCTTATCAGTTAGCTGATAGTACCCTTGCTGTAGCTAGGCTTTCTTCTTGCCATCCCCAAGAGCTGCAGCCTGTCAATTACTGCTCGTGGGGTCTACGTGGTGTGTTTCAGAAGGAGGTTGTTCCCCCCAGTAGCAGTGGCTTTTCTCCAGGCTGTCATTCCAGAGTGGCAGATCCTTTTGGACTTGTCAAGGTTTGAGTGAAGAGCACTTCTCTGGCAATTGCCATTCAAGAAGGTTTTAGCTCCTCTGCTGATCCACACTCCAAATGCATACATGTAACATCTGTTTTCCCAGTGCTTCATGTGGAGCTGTGGTGGAAGATGTACTATGTCCTTCTGACTGCCATGTCAAAACTTCCCTTCCTTTTTTACTCCATGGTCAGTGAGAATCCTGTTTAGATTGGGACAGAAGGGTTGAAAAAAGGCATTCTGTCTTCCACTGCAGACAGATGGAGGCTGCATTTCTCTGAATGTCCTTTAAAGGCCCTTCTCTGAGGTGTAAAAGCTGGACCAGCCTTCCAGGCTGCCCTCCTGAAGCTGGTAACCTGATTGCTTCTCTCAAGGAGAAGCTCTTCTCACTGAGGGTTATCTCAGTGCAGTGCTGTTGGGAGCTGCTGCTTCAAAGCCTGGGTGTAGCGAGGACTGAACTGACAGGAGCTGAGCTTCAGGTGCACACTTTGTACTTTCCAGTTTCATTGTGCTTTGACAAGAATTGTATCTGCTGTGTTAGTTTGGTGCCTATGCGACACTTCTCCACAGCCCTGCTGGAGATGGAGGCAGGAGAGGGGGAGCTGGGGAAGAGGCACCAACAGTTCTTTATGCAAGAAAGCAGCTTAAACAAATCTTAAAGCCTTAATTAAACTGTTAATTATGGCTTTAATGCAGAGTAAAGGTGACTGTGATTATAGGTGACCTGTGACCTGGCATGTTGCTTACTGTAAATTGATGATCTGCTGCCTTGTCTTTGTGAAGGATGAATTAAAATAACTGGTACCAACAGACTTCTGTCTGAACTTCAAAGCAAGCATGTGTCTCGCTGGTTTTCGTGGCTGAGTTGCTGCCAACCTGCTGTTAGGCGAAGGAAACAAATCCTGGAGCAGAGTCCTGGTTGGAGCATGCTGTTCTACGTGCAGGAGCAGCAATCACTTTGAATGTGATCCAGCGCTCTGCATCTTCAGAGCCATGTGTTTCCCCTCCACTTCTCTTTTGATTGTGTAGCCATTAGGTGGAAATGAAAAAGATGAGCTGATCAAACAGTCCTTGAAATGGCTTTAGGGTTTCAGTTTGAATATTTTTAATTAGCTCGATGTGAAGACTATTACTTCAAATAGCAGCCATGGAACCAGAAGACTCACAGTTTGATCCTTTGTTTTTATGGTGCACAAGAAGCCTCAGTAGCTGTAGGTTTTATGCCCAGCTAGACACCCCAAACCACAATGAACAGCTGGTGAAATCAAGTGATGATTTTTTCAGTATGCCTGTCAGGGATACATGAAAGGAAACGCTGTGTGGGGATAATATCAGACTAACAAATAGCAGAGGGTAAATCACTTGCAGTTTCAAAGAGAAGAAATCAGTTGAAGTGTCCTCAGTAGTTTTCCTTCTTTAGGAACTTCCTTCCCTCCTTCTCTGGGTCGAAGGAGATAATAGATGGCACTACCAGCCTGAAGCTGACTACAAGTATCTGGTGTTACAGTGACCTTTGTTAAGCGGCAGGTTTAGCTATACAGGGCAGCCTGTGAAATGAGGCTGTGACATGGGATTTCCTGAGTCCAGGGGAACCTGGCCAGCCACTGCACTGACTTGTCACCATGAATCCCACTTTGTGCTTGGCTAGAAGTCTTTACTCATGTGTTTCTGGCAATCCTGAAAGGTGCTTGACTGCTTTGTACTTTTATTATCCCAAACTTTAAATGGGGGGCAGCCCTTGAGAGAGGCCCATTGTCCTGACTCAGAGTTTTCTGGCTTGGTGGCATTTGAGTCACGGGTTTTTGGTGGCTCTGAGCATACCGACCAGCCAAAACCTGGCTGCTTCAGGGTCAGCAGAGGAAGATGAGTAATCTGGTTCACTTTATAGCTAGTCCTGCTCTGAGCAGGAGGTTGAACTAGGGAGCAACTGATGTTCTTTGCAGCCCTAATTATCCTGTGATCCTGTGGTGCCTTTCAAGGATATATAATGAATGAGGTGTGGATTTTGAGCATCATGTGATGCTTCATCTTTTCATTCTTTACTCTGCAAAGTATCATTTTTCTTCACAGTTACTGCTTTTCTTGCCCTCTGATTAGCAGTCTGTAAACCAATATGCTTCAAGGAGCAAGCCTCCCCATTTTGCTACTAGTAATTTAACTTGGATTTGCAGAGCTCACTGCAGCTGAACCAGCTGAGCAAGCTGCAGTGGCTGTGGCTGCTGAAAGGGTATCCAGGATTGCTTTGGAACCTGGTATTCTTGAGAGAAGATAGAGCACCTTTTAAACACACCTTCTTTGATCCTCAGAACTTCTGTAGGAGACAGATGAGGGGTTGTTTTGTGGAAAGGCTTCCCAGGATTTTTCTAATTTCTCTTTTTTTCTCCATCTGCATTTGTGGGTGATGGGGCTGACTGTTCTGCAGTGCCTCAGTCCTGTCTGCACTCTGACACATCAGGAAAATGCCCTCTGTGTCAGCACTCCTCTGGGAGGATCTCAGAGGTGCCAGCTGCAGCAGCAACGTGAACTTTGTTAACAGCCCCATCAAAAAGCAGCCTGAAAACGTGTGCTAGTGTGTTTTATCCCAGGTGCTTAATGGCTCTGCGAACAAGAGAGAACTCCACATTGTGCGTGCCAGCACCACAGCTCCACTGCAGATCTTGCAGTGTTGGACCAGCACTTGAAAACAAACAAACTCCAGCAGGTTTTGAGGGAGGTGCTGGTCTGTCTGCAGCAGAGGGACAGAGCAGAGCATGGCTGGGAGAGGCACTGCAGGAGCCAGTGAGCTTTTGGCAGCAAGGTCCATGTAACCATGTAGAAGGTGAGGCAGGTGATCGAAGTCCTGATCAGTGACCCAAGAAGATTTCCCCTTTGAAATTAAGAGTGTGGAGAGGAAATCACAGCTTAGAAACAGCTTTGGCTTATACTCTGTGCCTGGACACTGGTTTTCTTCTACTGAAGCTCTTACGACTCTAGAGAGGTAAAGAGGCTTCTCTGGGTGCAGAATCTGTCACCTTCTCAGTGTGTGCCAGGGCTCCAAGTCTGGTATGGACCCAACCTCGAGTGATAGTGATGGGGCAGGGGGAGCTAATGAAGAACAAAGTGCTGCAAGTGCTTTGTGATCCATTGCCAGTGTCACAGTGGTGTGACCAGGCCTCCTGCTGGTCCTGTCTTACAAACAGGAAGGAGGGAAGAGGGGAGCAAGTAAATATGGTGAGAAGCAGTAGGAATCTCAGATGAGGAGAAAGCCTGTGTCTCCTTGGAGATTCATCAATCTCCCAACAGCAAAGTGTAAGTATCCAGCCACTGGGTTTCCCAGAACAGGGTCAGAAAAGTACAAGTGCTGGGCAGTATAGATAACCCTGGACAGGAAGGAAGGTGGTCTGATGCATGTCCTCAGGGTTTCTCTGAGTTTTGAGTTCTTGTCACTGAAGACTCCATTTCCTCCAAGTCCGATGTGAAGAAGTTGTATGAATTGCATGGGGATTTCACTGTGCCTGTTCCACTCATGCTAATCCACAGAAATCTGGGTGTTTCTTTCAGGGCTGCTGTGGACATGTGCTAGTAACAACCAACTGACCATTTAAAGTGGAAAATGTATAGGTGATGCCTGAGGGACACTGTGATGTTCGTTTTCCTAGGACTATGCCAGCTTGCCTCTTGGACTGGAGGGAGACCCACCTCTGGGCACACAGGCATCTTGGCATCTCATCTGTGTTTTGGAATTTGGGCGAGAGCACTGTCTTGTTTTGGGAGTGTGGAGGGGAGGTTCCATGTTTGTACACAACCTGATTTTCCTGAAATTGATGTTGTTTGCCACGTTCTGAGGCTCTTTCCAGAAGAAATAAGTCCTGCTGTCAGAGGGGGAAGGCATTCCCTTGCTTCTCCCCTCCATGCTCTTGGAAGAAAACTCCTCTCTGACATCCTGCCTCTTACAGATTCTGGGCTGCTTTTCGGGAATCTGTAAATGGGGTATGGTGCCATGAAGTTTTGCATTGTTTGTACAGGTTGTTCTTTAAAAACTTTATTATTGTTCTGAGAAAATAAACCAACCTGAGAGCTAACATAGGATTTGTGCCAGTTCATTGTACAAGAATGATTAATGTCTGTCTCTAAGTGTAACGAGTTGGAATTCGGAATAGCATCTGATTTGTTGCTCTTCTTGAGCAACAACATGTTATGCTCTTTGTTTTGGCTGAATGTTCTGTGAATGTTGATACTAAATTTCACCTTGCCTAAGAATACCAGCTTTATCCCCTACAAATATTGCTAACTCCTCTAACTTCATGTCTGTTTCCTTGTGGAGCAAAATCTGCTGTGTGCTCCCCTGTGTCTCTGTGAACATACACCTTCATGGTGAGGCTGAGATTAAATAAATCAAAATCGGATGCTTCTGAGACAGTGGCAGGTAGCCACGAAGCCAGCAAGAAGCCATGGAGGAGGAACCTAGAAATCTGAAACGATGTTTTCATGGTGTCTATCCTGCTGTGTTCATCTAGGATGGAGCATGTCTTCTAAATATCATTGACTGCCTTGTTGACTTGCTGGGCAGGGAGTGGCCTGCTATCACAGTATGATCTGAGGCAGCCCTTTGCCAGGAGAGAAATGTCTGAAGTGTCCTTGTTCTGCTGATGCCTTTATGGCTTTTGGCTTCCTTACCACCCCATTGATGGTGTCTTAATAAAAAATGCCCTCTCAGTAGGATGTTTGAAGTGAGAAGGGGAAGTGAGGAGAGCGTTGGGCTGTAGCACCTTGCAGGCACGCGTCTGAGCCTTGCTGCTTGTCTGGCTTGTTCTGGTACTCTGTGCTTTTGGAGAAAGGATGGCTTGGTCTTGGAGAGGAGGTAAAATCCTGCTGTGCTGCTGGTCTAAAGAAAGCTCTAAAGGGAGTGCAGGGTTTGGGTTTTCTCAACTATCCCCTAAGAACAATCCAGGGATTGGGATTTCCCAGATCTGATGCAACCCCCCCCCCCCGAGGCTCCAGCAGCCTTCCCATGCTCAGGAAGGAACAAAAGAAGTTACATGATACCACTTCTCTTAACCACACACTGAGATGCTTTGTCTGGTGAATGGCCTGGAGCAATAATGTGCACCTGAGAAGCGCGTGCTGCGTGGAAGGTTGTCAGCAAGACAGGAAGAGCAGAAGCCTGGGCTCCTGCTTGTGTGATGACTGCCTTCTGGGGCTTGGGCTTCCACAGCCGTAGCTCCAGGGCTTCCCAGCTGTGCTCCTGTCACAGGCAGCCTTGTCCCGTCTACTCAGCCTTGCTCTTTTCAGAAGGAGGTTCGTGCTGTCCCACATGAGTCCCGTTGGGCCGGAGGCACGGGAAGGTGGATGTGTGGCCGAGTCCTTTTTCCTGGGTGGACACTAGGTGGCAATGCCTCCCTCGTAATGCACTGCCGAAGGCGAGTGGTGCGGGGATTCTGATGGGCTTTATAGCTGGGTATTGATCTTTTTCTGTACAAGTTGTTCTGATAACTAACTTCCTTTGACCGGAAGCTGATGCCTCTTCCCTGCAAGCAGCAGAGAACATTGTGCTTCCCAACTGTTGGGATAAGATGGGTCTGAAGACATGGGAATGGCTGAGTTTTCCAGCAGGAGACAGCTGAGCCTTTCATGCAGTTTTCTCTGTTCTGACGTGGGCCGTGCTGGCATTCCTCTGACAGCCGTCGGGTGCTTGGGTTGAGCGAGCATGGGCAGCTGGACCTGCACATGGAAACTTGGCACATCCATGGCCATCGATGACCTTGTGAAGGCAGAACCTTCTGCTCCCACCCTGCAGGGACAAAACTGCGTGGAAGGAGTCGCACCTGCTAACTGAAATGTAGACACCCATGTCGGGGGGGGGGGATCGTGGGGGCACAGTGAGGAGCTTGGGAAGCCTCTGGAAGTCTGCTCCTGCTGCCGGCGCTGCACACGGCAGGAACAGCGACTCCCCTTCCCGAGCTGCCACCCAGCCTGGGCCGGTAAATTGTGTTTGACCTGGAGTCTGGCTCCAGGTAGATGGCCAGTTTAGTGTAGTGTGAGAGGCTTGGTTAACTAGACAGTGCTGGAGCACTTCTTTCCATCTCTTTTTACCCAATAATGGCTAAAAAATGACTTCTGTAATGGTTTTGTTTGTTTTGCTAAAGGAAGAAACACAAACTTCCAGGCTCTGGGCGAAATCAAAGATGAGTTTGGATCTTGACATTAAACCAGAAATGCGAGTCCTTGAGCAAAACAGCCAAACATCTGTATGGAGAACCCTGTTTGCTGATTGGTTTATCAAAAAGCACTGGCCTTTGAGAAGTTTGCTACTGGAATTTTATTTTTGCCTAAAATGCCTCTTCCCCCCCCCCCCCCCCATTAAAAGGCTTGACAAATATCTTCATCACGTTCCTTGGAGAAACTGTTCCAAAGGTTGGTTACAGCTCAGAAGTGGTCTTATATTTCCAGTCTGGGTTTATCGACTCTTAGCTTGTAGCTCCTGTGCTGAGCCCAGTGTTTGCTCAATCAAAATATCATCTGATCTCACAGGATGCTTTCCCAGTGCCTCACCTAAGATGAGCTCTTAGGCAGAAGCTCTTCCCTATGAGGGTGCTGAGGCGCTGGCACAGGGTGCCCAGAGAAGCTGTGGCTGCCCCATCCCTGGCAGTGCTCAAGGCCAGGTTGGACACAGGGGCTTGGAGCAAGCTGCTCCAGTGGAAGGTGCCTGTGACAGGGGGTTGGAACTGGATGAGCTTTAAGGTCCCTGCCAACCGAAACCAGTCTGGGGTTCTATGAAAACCAGCCACGTGTGTCAAACAACCCAAAAAGAGCTTGCCTGGGCTGCAGATATCCTTTGAGGAGCTTAGGCAAGAGGGAAGCAGAGCCAGCCTGGGTGTCCTGCCTATGGTACCAGCCCCACGAACAGCTTTCTGCTCCTGCTCTGGTAGCTTGCAGGGTTCTTCCCAAAGCTGGAGACAAAACCTGATGGATTTTGCAAAGCCCAGAGCAGCAGTAGCACAGTGAGATGATGACATGGGGGTTTGGCTGCACCCCATGACCCAAAACCCACCCAACAGAGAAAAAGCTTTCCAAACCCTGCAGATGCTGGAAACACCTTTGCCACTGCACACTGGATGGGTTTGTGTCTGGGAACAGCAGCCCTGGCTGCTAATGGCCCCTGGGGGGGTCTTTCCCCTGCCAAGGGAGTGGAAACCCCCTTAGTGACCCAACTACAGGGGGGTCAAGTATTGCCCCAAGCACAGGAGGGCACAGCTCGTGCTGCCGGCACGCTGGGGAAGAAAGGAATTTCTGTGTAAATGCTATTTACCTTTGGGTTTCTCACTTCCCCTCGGGCAGACAATCCTGGCCCTCAGCACGGCGCTGCATGAACGGGCTGTTCAATGTATTTTTGGGAGAAGGGGAAAAAAAAAAACCTCTGAAAAGAGCCTCTTTCAGCTAATAATGAAGAGAATATTATATTAAGAGTGAAAACATATTCAGGGTAACTTACAGAGCAAGACAGAAAACCTTTTCATAACACCCTGGCCACAAACACAACTGCCTATTAAACCGACTTCATTCGCTGGCCTGTGCCAAGACAAACGAGGGGCAGGGGAGCAGAGCACGATGGAGCCAGTGCATTCGGTGCCCAGTTGGGTTTGGCCTGGCTGGCAGCACCGAGGGGTTTCCGCTCCACTGACATTCAGAGGCAGCTGTGGAAATGAAAAGGTGAGAGTCACAGAATCATGGAATCCCAGACTGGTTTGCGTTAGGAGGGACCTTAGGGCTCATCCAGCTCCAACCCCTGCCACGGGCACGGACACCTTCCACTGGAGCAGCTTGCTCCAAGCCCCTGTGTCCAACCTGGCCTTGAACACTGCCAGGGATGGGGCAGCCACAGCTTCTCTGGGCACCCTGTGCCAGCGCCTCAGCACCCTCACAGGGAAGAGCTTCTGCCTAAGAGCTCATCTCAGTCTCCCCTCGGGCAGGTTCAAGCCATTCCCCTTGGCCTGTTCCTACAGGCCCTTGTCCCAAGCCCCTCTCCAGCTTTCCTGCAGCCCCTTCAGGCACTGGAGCTGCTCTCAGGTCTCCCCTTCAGGAGCCTTCTCTTGTCCAGGCTGACCCAGCCCAGCTCTCTCAGCCTGGCTCCAGAGCAGAGCTGCTCCAGCCCTTACAGCATCTCCGTGGCCTCCTCTGGTCTCATTTCAACAGCTCCACATCCATCCTGTGCTGTTGCCCCAGAGCTGGATCAGGGCTGCAGGGGGGCTCCCCAGAGCACAGCAGAGGGGCAGGATCCCCTTCCTGAGCTGCTGCTCACACTCTGGGGGTGCACCCAGCACACGGGGGGGTTCTGGGCTCAAGCGCACACTGAAGCCAGGTCATGGGGAGCTTCCCATGGACCAACAGCCCCAAGTGCTTCTCCTCAGGGCTGCTCCATCCAGTCTCCCTCAGGCTGTTTAGTGTGGCTGCAGCTGTGCACGGCTGTGAGGCAGCAGCGAGCCGGCAGGGCAGGCGCCGGCAGCAGTATGTCTTCCCCCTGTTCCGTTGCCACCATTCCTCACCAGCCTGTGAAAGACATTAGGGCTGGTGCCATTCACTGATGAGTATTCCATGCTGACCCTAACTGGGAACAATTAGCAGTTGTTTTAGCAAACGCATGTCTGTTTGTCAGGGTTCCCAGCTCTGAGTGCAGACACAAGCATCCCCTTCCCCGTCTGGAGCAGGGCCATGGCCAAAGGAGCTCCCTGTGGTTGAAGGTGCTCTTGGGAGAAGTCCAGCTTGTTCAAGGCTGAGCATCCCCAGCCCCTCAACATGCCTGCTGGTCTCCCTCCAGGGTGGTGGCTGTCCCCAGTGCAGATGCAAGCAGGTCCCTGCTCTATGGCTTGCCCAGGTCAGAGAGAAGCTACAGAAATGCTGGTGGAGCCGGAAGCTCGGCCCTCGGCTCCCCCCCCAAGCTCCTGTTACATCTGCTCTCTGTGGGAGTTGGAGCCACAGGAGATGCTGCTCCAAATCAACAGGGACCTTGTTAACTTGTCCTTACCTGGGAAGGAAGGCGACGGCAGTAGGGGAGACTGCTTTGGGCAGTGGGGAGCTCACACCT